TGTACACACGCTTCGTTTGTATAAGGCTAGTTGAGAGGGAGAAGTGGAAAATCCTGGAGTTAATGAGAAAAGTATAGAAGAATGATCTTTAGCTTTGAGCATGATAATATCCGTATTTTTCAAAAAAGAATTCAAATTACATTAGCAGGAAATTCTATTCTGTAGGGATTTCACTGGTGTTGAAGAAACAGTTATAATGATTTCACTTCTTTCCTATGTATCTAGGATATCAGTTCTGTACCATCCTTTGGAAAAATGAGCAGTCAACTATTTTCTGATGGGCTTAAATTCTCTCTAGAAGCATGGTTAAGAAAGGCTGTCTAGAGTAACATATCTTCACCCACATCCTGTGGCAGAAACTAACCAAAGCTTTAATTTAGTTCACCGCTGTTGGGTATCCAGAAGTCTCAAATTTGCCAGAAATCCCAGAAGTAACGTGAGCATCAGCAGTAGCATGCCTCACTAAGGGGGCTTTTTTCTTTTTTTCTCCTAATGCTATAATTTGAACTATTAAAATTTTGCTATTGATACCTTTTTACTTTTTATCTCTTAATATCCATTAATCATCTACCATCTTGCTAACATTCTCTATTCTTCTGCTTCATTTTATTATCTGCAGTATATTTTGTGTGGACTGTTCATCCATTTGTCTTTTTTAAGAACAAAGCACTTCGTAAATTATGTAAATAAATGTCTAACCACTATGCTGTACACCTGAAACTAATACAAAATAATATGGAATGTCAACTCTAATTGAAAAATAAAAATTAAAAAAAGAACAAAGCAGCATTACTGTGAAGGTTTGAAAACTAAAAAACTTAAAAATTATTTTATTTTGTACCATGGAAGTTAAATGAGCAAATTTATAGACATACAGACATTTAATTAAATTTATCATGAGTCTCAAAATTTGTAAAGGTTTCTGTTCATTCTTGTTCTTATGAACATATTCAAAAACTTAAAAGACTACATGATTTCGTTTCTTCCTCAGGAGTTGTTGAGTGTATGGCAGCTGGCACAATTATCCTTGCACACAATTCAGGGGGCCCGAAGCTTGACATTGTCGTTCCTCACGGAGGAGAGGTAACTGGATTTCTGGCTGAAAGTGAAGACGGCTATGCTGAGACTATGGCTCATATTCTTTCCATGTCTGCAGAAAAGAGACTCCAAATCAGAAACAGCGCTCGTGCATCTGTAAGCAGATTCTCTGATCAAGAGTTCGAAGTGACATTCCTGTCATCTGTGGAGAAATTATTTAAATAATGCTATATCTGTACAAATTAAAGATATTTTACATAGAATGGCTCAACACCTTCATATGTTAATATTTTTCTAAGCTCATTCCCTGTTGTAATAAAGTCAGCCTAAGCAATGCTTTTAGCATTGTGTGTGTGTGTAAAAGGTATTTATTTTAATGAAAAAAAGGCACAATTACCTAAACAGAAAAGATAACCTTATTTAGTTTAAATGTAAAAATTTAGGTTAGTGTTTGGTCTCAAATTCTGAAAAATATGAATCTGAAAGAAAAAAACGAACAGTCTTAATTTTAGTATAGTCCATATTTTTCAAATCCTATTTGTCAAATTACTTTAGTTAACCGAGAAAGAATTTCCTTTTAGAAAAAAGGAAATGTTGAAAGAAAAATAGATGACTGACAATTGATTAGACTTTAGAATTGTTTTGACATTTTTGAGACACGGAAAAATTCTGGTACATTTAAATTTTCATTGATATTGTAGATGACCTTTTCGAATATATCCATTGATTTTCTTAAAATCAAAAAGAAACTTTAAGCAGGCTTAATCATATTCTAAAAACATGTAGTCAAAAGACAAACTGACTGACTGTTCTGTCAGTGTGCATAGGTCAGTAGAGGCCAAGATACTACTGGTAATCTTTTCCATAACTAGGTCTTTGTGAAAATAGTTTTTTGTTTAGTGCTGTCAGTACATTTGTATGGGCCTCTCATTATCCCTTAACATTTTCACATCTCAAAGGCTAGAAGTCTTTAAGTCATTGAGGAGGGCTGAGTAAACATCACAATCAGCTGTTTTTCAGATAGTGATGATGTGACATAGAGATCCATGTACGCAGTCTATATGATCAGCATGCATTGCAAGATGACGACGTGGTGATTTGAAGAGAGCACTGGACTAGCAGTTAGAATACCTGGGCGTGACCTCAGCTTCATCATTTACAAATGTCTGACAGTTTGACACTAAAGCTTTTCCTTAATTTTTCTGAGTCTCAGATTCTTCATCTATAATCTGGACATGGCAATGCCTGTCCTCACTGCCTTTTGGAGTTTTCATACTAACATGGAAAGTATGAGAAAGTACTCTGAAAATTATAAAAGTTACTTTAATTAAAGGTTACAATGTATAGTAAATGTCTTCTGTAATCCATCTTTATCAATGCATTATAACCCTATGTAGATTCTTGGTTACTAAACCAGTAGCTAGGAATCAATATAATTTAATAGGACTTCTATCCTGAATACCTAGCATGGAAAGGTGAATTTATGCATGTGCAGATAGGCTAAAGAAACCTGTAACTTTTGACAGTTTCTGCATAGATAGTCAACTCTTTCTAATTCAATGAATTGACCTCCTTCCCAGTCTGATAACACCTTTTTGTTAGGGGCATGTTAAAGAGGTACGTTTTTCCTTTTCAATCTCCTTTCCTCCATTCATCATCCAATCAGCTTCATTATCTGCTCCCAATTACATTGTTGATTTGTCTGCAGGCCATCTACTGTCATTAGAGTAAAAAGCAGCCAAACAGAGTCCCCTGATGTGTTGGAGATTATTCAGTTTAGAAAAGACTGGTGGAAATTGGAGCTGGAAGGGATGCTACAAATTCTACAGTCCAATTTTATTTCCAACTTTACAGACGGGAACAATTTAAAGAACTTAAGACTCTTTCAGTATCACAAAGCTTTTAATGAGAAAATCAGGATTAAACCTGAGTGTTCTGACTACCAGCACAGTGCTTTTTCTTCTCTTACAACTAGTCTTTGAGGCAGGATTCATACCATTGTCCACTCAGCCTACTCATCTACCCAAAGAAAACCACGGGACCAAAGATAAAGAAATTGAAATAGAGCAAAGTAGAGGATTTAGTAAGGAAGAAAGGATTCTGAAACTCCATAAAACAATAAGCTTATATCTTCAAAATAATTTTCATTTATCACAAACATATTGAAAAATATAATTTGCATGTATGTTCACTTTTAATGTTCCTAATGTATTAATACATGTTTGCTTTTTTTTTCCTGAACGATCGATACAATGAAAAGTGTCAAAGCAGTATGTCAGCAACTGTCTGGAGAAATTCTAAGTGACTACTAATTCCTATAAGATGTTGATTTTGAGTGATCCAAACGTGCTATGTTTTGAACCCACAGCAGTAGTAGTGATTCACATTCTTATTTCCAGTTGTGCATATTCTTTGCATAATAATCTGTTTGTATCTAAATATGATTTAAATTTAATAGGTACAAAATCATTATTTGTTCTAAATACGATCTAAAAAAGTGATTTTCGTTATCTTGAATATTTTTTGCAGTATGGTGCCTTTATGCCCCTCATGTAGTCTCTCAGTTCTGAATTATTTATTATGTACTAATATTTCAAGTTTCACATGCCAAGAATTTTTTTTAAGAAAAAAAAAACTTTAAAGCAAAACAAAACCGACTTGCCTCTTGTACCCAAGAGGAATAGACTGTCAGGTTTTTAAATAATTTTTTTAATGAACATTTCAGACATAAAACATTTTTGTGAAGCAGAGCTTCATATACTTTAATAATTTTCAGGGTATTTTACTAAGTTATAGATAAAATAATTTTCGGGGTATTTTACTAAGTCATAGATAGGGCCCAGTATATTGTAAATGTACCCTAGACTCCATATGAATGAATAAATAAATAAGATTGTGTCTGTGCTAAATTTGTCAACCAGTACAAAAAAGCCACTACTGACGGGGCTCAGAACAGACCTCCCCAAGATGTGACAACTTGGCATGTGAATTATTTTGAGATGAAGGCAATCAAGACCCTGTGGGCCCACAGGAGACTTTTACCTCTCAAAGAATTTAAATTTTAGGCCTGTCTATAATAAGAGTTATCTCCAAAAATAACTTCATGACATCTGTAGGGCAGGGCAAACATCTAATTACTGGACATCTGTGCTTAAGATCTGCAAATGCCCCTCCACCCCTCTGTAGCCACAAGGGTGCCTTTCCTCATCCTTTGCTCAGAATGCCACATCTACCTCATTTCCTCTTTCTGTCTCTTAACCTCATGTATGTGGGGTCTCTGACTCTCCTGCATGTGGGGTTCCCATACATATGTATATAATTAAATTTGGTTATTTTCTCTCGTTAATCTGTCTCGTGTAGATTTAATTATTAGACCAGCAAAAGAAGGCTAAAGTTTCTTCCTCCCCCACAATTGCGTTAAACCACAAAAAGTTATGCAAATACTGGAATCAATTATGCCCCTGTAATTGACCCTACCTCTCCCACTGTTCCTCTGCTCACTCTTTTTGCTCTTTCCCCGTCCTAAATCTAAGGCCATTCTTGGCTTCGGAGAAGCATCATTTTCAATGCTCTAGTGTTCTGGGCACACTTGGACCATATGTTAAGAGTACAAGGCATTTAGAAGGGAAATTAAGGTTTGGTACACCTATTGGTACCATTTAAAGAATGATCACCGTGATAGCTATCATACATAGTTAAAGATGCATGATTTTTCTAATAAAATTTATTCAAAAATCACATACAATTCTGATCAACAGTTTCAATTTAACAGATGCAGCCAAGCCTAAAACCAGAGAAAAGTAATCAGAACTGTGCCTCTAGAATATAATTTAGGTAATGGTGTGTGTAAGATGGGTATTCGGGGCTGAAGCAGCGTGAAAAACCTTGCAGATGTGTATACTTACCACAATGAATACTTTCTAATTTACAACTAAGAACTCAAAATTTTAGAATGATTGATAAGGCTTAAATGGTGTCTATTGCCTAAAGGAGATTTTGGCCAGTCATTCTGTCTTTGGAGCAAACCTGATAAGCTTATCCTTAAACGTTGACCTTAAACAGTCATTCCTTTTTTTTTTTTTCTTGCATATACTTGACTGGTCTTTGGTACTTTGGGAGTTTTAAGAATCGTCCTGCATTTCTCATGCTTTCAAATACTGTTCAGAATGAGGATTGCATGAAGACACCAGCATAGACGATATGTCTGAAACAGATAATGTCCTGAAAGTAAATTAAATATATATATACCGACCACTAAAACAGTTGTAGAACTAATGATGCTCCAATCCCTCAAGGTCATGTGTTACATAAGTTTTAAATTAACACAATGGTGAGAAATTTTTAAATAGTCCCAGTTTCATGATGTGACCATAGTGAGCGCTCTCCCTAAAAGAGCAGAATGTAACTCTATACGCCAAAGTGAAAGAACAGTCCCTCAAACATCACCAGGAAAATAAAGGCATAAATTACTGGACATATTCCACAGTTAGAGGAATCCTGATACCTGCATCCTCCACAGTTAAAATTACACCAAACGCAAATACCAAGCAGACCTTAGAAATAATCTGACCAACTCATCCTTGGCTTTGTTTTCTTAGTTTGGCATTGTATCAATGTGCAATTTTAGTTTTATTTTTCTTACAGAGTAGATATTTCAGGCAGAATTCTACCATTTAGAACAACCCTGTCCATAGCAGCAGATAAATCTATTAAGCTCCAGTCACATGTTCAACACTGGGATTGTTATAATCAGTACAAAAAAGCCTGGTTTTCTGACTCAAAGATCTTACAGTCTTCACGAGGAAATTGTATTAGCATTTACTTATTCATTCAAGAAACATTTCTGGCGCTGTGCTAAGCGCTATATATAAAAAGACCATCATACTAGTTTATACGTTTGAAACTATCAGAAAATAATTCAATAAAACATAATAAAATAATTATTTGGTATATAATTAAGGGCATGCCTTGTTCCTTTCCTTGTTCAAATGCCTTACTCCCATGTCAACATCAGCTGCAAAAAGCGAGTGTATTTAATATAACAAGAAATTTCAAAATCACGGTTTTATAAAATGGAAGATTCATTATTTTTAAATGAATGAGTTTGTATTAGTTTTTGATCACTGTCTTAATAAATTACCACAAACTAAGTTAAAACAACACATATTTATTATCTTAGAGTTCTGTAGGTCAGAAGTCTAAAGTAGATTTCGCTAGGTGAAAATCAAGGTATCAGCAGGGAACACTCCCCCTTGCCTTTCCCAGAGGCCGGCTGCATGCTTTGGCTTTTGTCCCTTCGCTCCATCTTCAAAGCCAGCAGCATCAGGCCAACTCCTCCTCACAGTACCATTCTCTCTGATCCTCTCTTCTGCCTCCTTTTTTAACTCTTAAAGAGTCCTGTGATTATTACTGGGCCCAAATGGATAATCCAAGATAACCCTCCTATTTTAAGGTCAGCTGATTAGCACCTTTAATTCCATCTGAAACTTTAATTCCCCTTGGCCATGTAACATTATATATTCACATTTAGGGAAAGGGGGATCACATTATTCTGACTACCACATATATTATCTGAAAGATTCTTAAAGTAAAATATTAATTTCTACACTCAATAGTTCCAATGTCTAAATTTAGAGAGAAAAAGTAATAAATCCTTGGGATTACTGGAAAAACCTTACAATAAATGTATTTTTACTTGTATCCAAACAGATACTATAGTTAATAGACACTAACTTACTGCTTAAGAAAATGTACAATAATCACACTTGTATATTTTGACTGGTTGTTGATGTTCCTTGGTGTTCATTAACAATAAAAAAATTTGTCATTAGATGGAGTAGAAATGCTCTCCGAATCTTCATTAAATTCTGCACATTTATGCATATTTATTCCCCTTCTCCTAACTGTTCATTGTCCTTAGAGGAACCGGTGGCCTCTTCCCTTTTTTCCTCCTCTCTGGAAGCAGTGAGTTTTTCTAGGGATTCCACTACTTCGTTTCTCAACTCATCTTCAGATTCTTCAAAATTTCTGAAATAATAAACAGTGAAATTCAACTTAATGATATCAAAACACATGAATACATATAAAAATTAGTTTCCCTTTTCATGCCCCACTCCCACTTGAACAACATGAAAGTTGCAATTTTACCCAGGTAATAAATTATTTAGCATATCAATCTGGTTTTTCTATGAATGATAACTAATGTTGAAAGAATCGATATTCTGTTTAGTTAGACTGGTGTTCAACAATCTTTATTATATTTATCAATACCCACCTTCTCTTGTGTTTAAAAGAAGAGGAAAGAGAAAAAAGGAAAAATAATATGTAATATATTGAGCCCTTACTATATACTAGTCACTGCCCTAGAGCACTTTACACATACTATATTTCATCTAATACTAACAAAATTTGAGGTAGACATTAGCATCATCAATTTTAAAGAATCTTGGTTCAGAGAGGTTAAAAAAAGTGCCCAAGGTCTCACAGCTACTAATTAGTAGGAGTAGGAATTGAAATTGTGTCTAAGACTGAAAAACTGATACTTTTAGAAGGGAAGAAGGGAAGAGACCAAGAAAACCATCTCAATGATCACTAATATTTAAGTGGCAAGTGAAAGAGACTGACGAAGAACTGGTAAGAACAAAGAATGTTTATGATGGAAGCCAAGGGAGCTGAGAATCTCTGGAAAGAGAGAGTAGCCAAATAAGATGAGGACTGAGAAATTACAAGCAGACTTGGTAATTTCAAGGTAATAGATGACTTCTACAAGAGTATTTCAGAGTGCTTGCAGGAGGCATCATACTGTGGATCAAGAGAGCAACAGGAGGTAGAAAAGTGGTAACAATGAGCTTAAACTCCTCTGAGAGGAGCCTAGCTCTGAAAGGACACTTATCTCAAGAATGTGGGAGTGGGGAGCTGGGGAGGGTGTGTGGGGTTGGGGGGTGTGTGTGTGTGTTTCAAGATAGGAAAGATTTGGGCATGTTTACATGCTGAGAGAAAGTAGGTAATAGACATTGAAAATATAGGGAAAAGGTAGATTAATTGGTAGGAATAAGGTAACTGAGAAAAGGCTAAGATTTAGAGCAAGGGTGGCTTTCAGCAGAAAGGGAAATAGTTTTTCACCTAAAGGAGGAAGGGCCAAAATATAGAAATGTAGAACTAAGGGAATTACCTGTGAAGGCTTTGGACCTGAATAAAAAGTATGTGCCACGAAGCAGATAAGGACTTATGTGGACATAGAGAAGTTACGCAACTAGACAATCAAAATGATTCCACCTACAAACCACATACTGTTTGTGAAGTAGGAAGAAGAGTCACATGATGACAGCAAGATGAATGCAGTGAGTGGGCAGGGCTGAGGGTTTGGAAGAAGCTGAGCAGTCATAGGATTACTAGATATGACAGAGGCCCCCACTAAAATTGGAGATCATAAATTTGTGTGAACCACAAACTACAGCTTCCATTTGTTAAGCTATCATCACTGCGGTATATGCTTACACAAATCTCTTTTTCCTCGTTCCTCTACAATTTAAACAATGATGTGTCTCAGTGTGAATTTCTTTTTATTGTTCCTGCTTGGCTGTTGTTTTATTTCCCAGATATCATGATTGGTGCCTTTCAATAATTATAAAAATTTCACAGCTATAATTGCTTTGAATATTGCTTTTCCCTTATTCTCTCCTTCTGGAATTCTTTTTAGATATCTATTGGACCCCCATACCTCTTAACTCCTCTTTCACAGTTTTCTACATTTTTTCTCAGCTCTATCTTCCAGTTACTAATTTCTTCATTAACTATACATATTCTGTTTTTTAAACTATCAGTCAAATTTTAATTTATTTTGGTACTGTTTTTCACTTCTAGAAGTTCTATTTGGTTAGTTATTAAATGTTTCTGTTCTTATTTGATGAATCTTTTTTCTTATGTTTTGATTTTTATTTTAATTAAATATACAATATTAATTATTATACAAATATTAAATAATCATAAGATAATTATATTAGCTGAAGTTCTTATAGTCTAATTCAGCCATTTGATGTATTTACTATCTCTCATAGTGGATTCTTTTTTTAAATTTTTAATTGAGTCATCTTTATCAGTGCTTTAGTGAGAAAACTCAAGTCACCTGGACTGAAATTATAGCTCTCCAGTGTGTTTTATATTTACTTCTGGGGATCTCAGAGTATTTTGATCCCTTACTGTGAACTTTAATGTTAATTTCTCAACATACATGTTTCCAGACCATCCAAGTATTGTAAATTCAAACTCCAAACCTGAATGAAGGCAAATCCACAGTTATAAATTATCAGAAAGAATTTTTCTACCACAGCCTGGACCAAAACAGACAAGCCACATTACTGGGATTTTTTCTAGACCACTCCTAGATGTGTGGTTCTTCAAGGGTTCCAGCTAGCAAGAATGGAGGGGAACCCACTGAAGAAAACAAAACACTATTCGATATGTAGAAGGTACACAGAGATAGGAAAAGAAAAAAGAAAATTTTTAAAGGAAAAAAACCCCTCCAAAACAAAATGTGCCTGCAAGCACATTTTGAGCACATTGAGTCCCATGACACATGAATAAATCTAATGGTAAGAAAGATGGGCAAGAACAACAAAAAAATTGGACCATGAACTAACTCCAGGTGAAATTATTTTTATGGAGGATTTTTTTCATTCTTATTTAGTTGTTTGTTTATTTATTCATTTACAAGCCCTTGTATGGGGGTCTGACTTTCAATAGATTACAGCAAGGGAAGAGGATTTTGAAAAAGCTCTTAAGTATGCTCAAAGAGATAAATTAAAGCACAGTATCCTTTTAAAGTGTTTTTAAATTAAGGGAACTAAATATGCAATAATGAAGCAAGACCACGTAAATATAAAAATTATAAATCTTAGACATGAAATAGATAATAACTCATATTAAAAACTTGATACACAGATAGCTTTGGAAAACAGTATTCAAAAATTTACCTAAAATGGTACAAAGAGAAGAATAAAAAATATGAAAATACAATTAGATATTATTGGGGACAGACTGAGAAGCTCCGAAGTATATCTAATTGGGGGACAAAAGTGGAGAGAATTAGAAAAACAGTATTTGGAGAAACAGTAGGTAAAAATTTTCCAGGTCTAAAGAAAGTCAGAAATAAAGTTCTCAGAATAAAGTGAACCAAGCAGAAAAAATGACAAATCCAGACCTAGACATACCGCCATTAAATATAAGAACCTAAAAATAAGAAGAAAATTATGAAAGTACTAGGAAGAAAGTTAGCATATTTCTAAAAGAAAAACAATTAGGTAAAAGCAGATTCCTCATCAACAGTAACAGAAACCAGGAGAAAAATAATTGTCAACCTAAAATTGTTTGCCCAGCTAAATTACTGCTAAAGATTGAAGGTAAAATAAAAACAATTTTAGGTGTGTAAACAATAAGAGAGTATACCACTCTCTGACCTTTCTTAAAGGATTATTAAAAGATATAAATTGACAAGAAGAAAACTGAAAACAGAAGGAAAAGATGGATTAGATAAAAACCATGCCAAGTTCAGAAAATGATAAACTACACTGGCAAATTAAATTAAATTTGAGATTAAACATGTATTTTTGAAAATGATACAGATTTCTATGTATGTTTTAAATATATATAATATTTTTATTTCAAAAAAGCTAAAATTGGATTAAATGATTTGATGTCTAAAACTTAGAATTTTCCAAACTTACAAAAAAAAATGTGTAGGGGTTGTGGGGGAGTAAAGAATAATGTTGATCATTGTTAAAGCTAGATGATGGATACATGAGAGTTCATTATGCTAGTCTCTGTACTTTTACTATGTTTGAAATTTTCCACAATGAAAAAAAGTTTTTTAAGTAAAATTATAACTCTAGATAACAATATCAGGATGGAAAGGTTTTGGTAGTTATTTAAACATAACCACTAGGGAGAAGAAAGTAATACTGAGTAACTTTGGAATTTGTTAGATGAATTTGTAGGTAATGTATAAAAGAGAACTATTCAAAGAATAGAAATATAATCTGTATCTTCAAAACTAGTGTAGAGGAAACAAAATAATATTGAAAAGTTTCTCAACCTAACAAATGGCTGGAAAAGGAGGAGGAAAAGGAAATGAGAAATGAAGGTATACAGAAAACCAACTTAAAACTTATATTAAAGCCCAACTACACTGATAATCATAATAAATTTTATTCAATTAAACTAATTAAAAACAGAGATTATCACATGACAAAGAGCATATCTACCAGCTATAAGCACTTGATAAGAAACATAATGAAACTACACAGAAATAATGAAAATAAAAGAACAGAAAAATATGTCATAAAAATATTAAAATATTAAATTTTAAAAGTTTAAAAATGGGAATAGCAATATCAGTATCAAATAAAACAAAAGGCAAATAGCATTAATAGAGACAAAAGTTGAAGATTTTAATGTACCTCTAAAAGGAAGCAAAAAAAAGGCTATAAAATGCTTAACAAAAAATATTTTAAGCTTGATATAATAGATAATCATATAGAACATATATAACCCCAAAATAGTAAGAACATGAACTTTTTTTCAAGTACATATGTAACAGTCATAAAATTGACGCTGTACTAAATAACAATAGGACTCCCAGTACATACACACCCATTAAATTAGTTTAAAACATTTAAACTGACCATACCAAATGTTGATAAAGTAGAGCAACTAGAACTCTTATACACTGTTCATGGGAATGTACCACCACTTTGGAAAACAGTTTGGCAAATTCTTAAAAAGTTAAACATTCACCTAATCATTTTATTCTTAGATATTTACTTAAGAGAAATGTCTATACAAAGATGGGTATGTAAATATTCGTAACAGCTTTATTTATAATAGCCCAAAACTAGAAACAACCTAAGTGTCCATCAACAGGTAAATGTATAAATCCAATTGTGGTATATCCTTAAAATGGAATACTACTTAGCAAAAAAACAATGAACTATCAATACATGTAACAACATGAATGAATCTCAAAATTATTCTCAAACAATAAGGTGTCCAGAAAGCTTTAAGGGTGTTGTCCTTCAGTAGTCCAAAGCCCAAGACTGAGAATGGCTTATCTCGAAAAGATTTGAGTCTGGTTTTTGTCTAATGACCTACAAGATTTTTTTAGGAAAAAAAGACAAAAAAAAAAAATACACAGAGAGAGAGAGAGAGAGAGAGAGAGAGAGAGAGAGAGAGAGAGAGAAACATAACAAGGTTGGACCAAAAGGGACAGAGACAGAGCTAAATGAAAAGAGGCTGCTGGACTCCAAAATCCTACTAGCAGGAAGCAGGCTGAGAAAATTCTTCTTTCCTCGTTCCTTTCTCTCTTCCTCCTTCCCTTCTCTTTCCTCCCTCCCTCCTTCCCTTCCTTCCTTCTTTCTCTCTTTTATTTGCTAGACAGGTTAATTCTAATGTTCATATAAAAACATTAATAAACAAAACTAAATAAGCAAATTCTGAAAAACAAAAGTATTTAGGGGAACCAGACTCCCAAAATAATAATTTATAATATAAATATGTTTATAATAGAATAATTAGACTATAAAGAATAGAAATTGGATAGAGATACATATAAAAATGTAGTATATCATAAAAGCGGCATTTCAAATTCGTAGAAAAAAATAAGATTTTCAATAAATAGTGCTAGAATAGTAAGGACTTATTTGGGGAAATAAAAAGTAGGAGTCACACTTTCCAGTGTAATATGAGTAAAACTTCAGATGAATAAAATATTTAACTAAATAGAAAATTAAATCATAAAAGTTCTTTTAAAATCCTGATATCACATTTTATGAAACAATTGGTAAATCTAATTACATAAAAATAAGAAATTCCTACATGGCACAAGCCACTATAAATAAAATCAAAAGGCAAACAAAAAACTGGGGAAAATATTCTTGAATTATATTACAGATAAAAGACTAATTTCTCTAAAGTAGAAAGAGCTCCCCAAATCAATACAATGTTAATAGCCTAAATTTTTTAAATGGCTAAGGCCATTTAATAAGTTGTTCCCATGGGAGGAAATAAAGATGGGTCTTAAGCATGTGCAAAGATAACCTCACTTATAAAAGAAGACCTAATTAAAACTGGCCTGAAATGTCATTTTTTTTACCTATCAATTGTGTAATGATCCAGAAGTTTGGTAACATACTGAGCAAAAAAATGTGTGGGTAAACACACAAAAAAATGTGTGGGTAAACAGTGCACTTCCATACACTGTTGGTGGAAATTCATTGGTGTCACCTCTGTGAAGGACAACTGGACAATATCAATTACAAATGAACATATTCTTTGACTCAATACTTTGCTATTCTGAGAATTTAAACTATATATATGTATATGTATATACATATATGTATATACACACACACACACACACTATTTGTATATGATGATATGTATTCAAAATCCACTTCTAAGGAGAAAAGGAAGTTTCACACTCTGAAACTGTTTCTATAAAAAATAAAAAGAACACACACATACACAATATATACATATTTGCTTGCATTTTAATGGAATTCCTCAGAAGTATGCACAAGAAGCAGATTAGATTGGTTGACTTTCGGGAGAGGAATTATGTGGCTGAGATAAAGAGACAGCAGGAAAACTATGAAAAAAGTATACCTTTTGAATTTGGAACCATATGAATATATTACGTATTTTTAAAGTAAATTATAATAAAATTTTCAAAATTCAAAGGACTCCAAACTTCAGAATAAGAGATTTCAGTAAGGTTACATAGGATACAGCATCAATAGTGTTCTACACACTAGCAGTTACCAAGTTGAAAACACAGTAGGAGAAAAATGACCCCATTAATAATGGCAACAGCAACAACAAAAAAATTAAGTGGAACCTATACTATGAAAAACACAACAAAAATACTGAAGAATATTAGAAAAGATATAACAGTGGAAAGCTATACGATATTCATGGGTGTTAAGATTTATAATCACAAAGATGTCAATTCTTATAAGTTAATCAACAAATGTAATGTTATTCTCATCAAAATCCCAACAAAGGTTTTTATGACACTTTATAAGAGAATGCAAAGATGTATATATTGAGTAAAGGGCAATAACAGCGAAGATAAGTATAAAGAAAAAGATATGGAGACTAGAAGGTGTGGGGACTAGTCCCACCAGATAGCAAAAAATATGATAAAGCCACAGTAATAGAGAAAGAACATCACTGATGCAGAGGTAGGACACAATGCCACTGGAAAAGAATGGAGAGCCCCAAAACAAACCTATGAATATAGTGAAACCTGGTCTCCTTAGCTAGGTGTCTGAGGCTATCTCCTATGTCTCCACAACAGCATTTGAACTTTCTACTTTTATTTAGGCATCTGGATATGATCTACTTACGTATCATCATCATCAGATCTTGGTTCTAGTTGTTCCTCATCCACCTCAGTTCCAGAGGCCATTTCTACCTTATCCTCATCTTCTTTAGGAAACCATTGTTTCAATGTTCCCACTGTTAAATGACAGAGAGATGGAGATGAAAGCATCCCAGCATATACATCTGATGAGAGGTATGTACCAAAAATCCTGTAGTGAACATCAACCATAATGGTAAAAGCTTTAAATCATCTCCACTAAAACGAGTAAGACAAGATGACAACTGACACCCCAACTACTCAGCACTGCACTGAAGGTAACAGGCAACACAAGACAAGAAAAAGAAGTGAGAAGAATAAGGATCAGTGATGAAGAAGCAAAATACTGCCACTTTGGGGATAGATTCTGATTGTATAAAAGATTTTTTTTAAATCTGTATTGTAAAAATTTAAGAATTGCCAACATTATTGGACCACCCTATTCTTCACTGTTTCTATATAATGAGTATCCAGCTCATTGTTAGGCTCAATCATTAATGTCTGCAGAGAAAACTCAAAGCGCACACACACACAACTTTATCTTTTTTTGGTGGGGGGGTGGATTTATTGTTTTTATTTAAAATGTAATTTTTTTTCTCTTGGGCAAAAATCCAGACTGAAGAGAGTACAATATTTTGTCCCCTGGACAACTCTAAATTTCACTTTTTATAAAATGAACTTTTATTTTATAAACCAATGGCAAAGAAATGTTCCCAATAAAATGATACAATGTTTTCTTACCCTTAGAATTTATATTTTGCAAATATAAATTATTACAAGAACTCTCTTAGTCCTGAGCATATTTTTTCATCTTAAATCACTCTCGTATACTCATAAAAAGGAACATATAAGTGAAACAAATTGATAAGGTATAACTAAAATTCCTCACATTCAGAATCTTAATCCTCTGAATTATTTATTTTTTTACATATCAATCAAATTTTATGAATCCTGTTTCAAACAGACCATAACAAAATAATTTATGAGACAATCAGGGAATTCTGAATTACTTTTTAAGTTGTTGATATCTGTTTTTTATTGTGATAAAAAGTACATAACACATTTACTCACTTAATTTTTAACAGTACAGTATTATTAAATATATGCACGTTGTTGTACAACAGATCTTTAGAACTTTTTCATCTCACATGACTGAAACTTAATTTCCACTGAACAATTCCTCATTTCCCCCTCCTCCTAGCCCTTGGAAACTACTGTTGTACTTTGTTTCTAAGAGCTTGACTACTTTAGATACCTCATGTAAGTGGAATCGTATAATATTTGTCTTTTTGTGATTGACTTATTTCACTTAGCATAATGTCCTCAAAGTTCATCTATGTTGTAGAATTTGACAGGATTTTCTTCTTTTTTAAGGCTAGATAATATTCTATTATATGTTTATTCCACATTTTCTTTATCCATTCATCCATCAATGAACATTTAAATTTCTTCCACATCTTGGCTATTATGAATAATGCTACAATGAATATGAGTATGCAAAAATATCTTTTTGACATCTTGTTTTCAGTTCTTTTGGATATATACCCAGAAGTAGGATTGCTGGATCATATGGCAGTTCTATTTTAATTTTTTTAGGAAACTCTATACTGTTTTCTATAATGGCTGCACTTTTTTAACAATCTCACCAACAGTGCATAAGGGTTTCAACTATTCCACATCATTATAAACACTTATTTTCTGTTTTCGATAGGAGCCATCTGAATGGCTTTCAATCTTGTTGAAATCAAATGCATTGTTGAGACAGATTTTCTTAAATGAATCCACAAAAAAACTAAAAGAATTTACAAAAATTGAAAATGCTGGTTTCTTAAGTGGCTTTAAAGTTATGTAGAACTAGTCTATTTTTAACTACTACTTTGGGAATTTTGCTGAGTATGTCTACATTAGTTAGCTTTTGCAGAATAATAAACCACTATATAACTTAGTGGCTTAAAACAGTAACCATTTATTTAGGTTACAATTCTGCAGTTAGGCAAACTTGGCTGGGCTCAGCTGGTTGGCTTTTCTGGTTTCAGCTGTGCCCACTAATGCATCTGCAGTCACTTGCCGGGCCAGCTGGAGGCTGGCTGTTCTAGTATGCCCTCACTTGAGATGTACTGTCTCTGTTCCATGTGGTCTCCCATTTTCTAGCTGGCCTATCCAAGCTAGCTGAGAGCCGGACAGGGATCTCCCAAAAAAGAGCAGAAGTTCCTTGAATACTCAGACTTGGCACACCACCACTTCCACTGCTTTCTACTGGTCTAAGCAAATCATGGTCCAGTTGAAATTCAAGGAGAAAGGGGAAAAAACATTCAATGATGAAGGAGCTACAAAGTTATACTGCAAAAGCCATGGATACAGGGAAGAGTGAAGGACTGTGCTCATTTTTATAATCTACCGCAATCTCCCTCTTCCACATGCACTCTACAACCACCTGGTTCCTAAGGGTCAAAAGAAGTCTCCAGGAAAAAATTCCTACCCACTAACACCCATTTCACAAGTTTTAATGTTCACTGGGGCCCAGACAATAATAATATATCAGCACTACTGCCTGGCCTACAGTAACTATAAAACACCATTAATTGCATGCTGCATCTCAACTTCAGAAATATTAAAAGGGAAGGAAAATAAATGTGCATCTCAGAATTGGTGAATTTCAGGAAACTGAGGCACAGAAGGGTTAAATGACTCACCAAAGATCACATGGTGATCAGGAGCATCAGAATGAGTATTCTTAGCCACTATTTTAAAAGCTGTAACTTATTAAACACCTACTCAGACAGGCAACTTGCTAGACATTTTATATACAGTATCTCACTTAATATTTAAAACAACCCTTTGAGGTTAGTACCATCTTAATTCTGATTTTACAAAGGAAGAAACTGAAGAAAGATTGGTTATCAGGGCCAGAAATTATACAAGATCTGTCTAGGTATATAACCCATTCTTAACCATTATTCAATGCTGCCTGGAAATATTCTACAGAGAGAATCTGATGTAAAAATCTTTATGTATTCCAAATGTAAATGTAACTGTTTAGATTTTTGGCACTGTTTCCCTTTCATTACCACAATACACCTTTTAAACATTTTTACAGAGGAAATTTATACTATCATAGTAAAAACAAAAATCCTAAAAGAAAAATCAAATAATGACACAGGTGTA